CGGCGGGAAGCGCCTTCTGCGGGGACAGGACAGGCGAAGTGCTCCGATAACCGCCTTGGCCCTTCTTCGAAGGGACCTCCGCGCTGCCGAGGCTGGTTTGCTTTCACAGAACTGCTCACACCGCTCAGGACAACCGAACAGAAAATTAAGAGGATAAGCACAGGGTTGGTGAAAGGGCAGGGCAAGCAGGGTCGCTGCACCTGCCCCCATGTCACAACGTGGGACTCGGGCAGCCCAAGGACTCTTGGTTTAAGAGGGGTTGCAACACACACCTACCACCGCCTGCCGTTATGTGAACGGCCCTGGCACATGGGCAAGGCTTTTGGCCAAGCATAACCTAAGGAAAGATCAAGAGGAGGAGCCATGTTACCATACCAGCAACTCACCTAGGGGTTAGGGCAGGACCAGGAGCAGCACTTTCACACTAAGTTGTCTGATCTTATCCTTGTAGTTTTACATGGATCTTGTACCTAGTTTCTAGAAACATCTGCAATCTACATGCATGCATCCTCTAAAAAAGTAAAAAGGCCTCTCTTCACACTGCTGTAAACCCACTGCCACATTTGAGCTCTCAAGGATATCCTGGCAGTGATGCCAACAGCCTTCTCGCAAAGCTCAAGCGAAGGGCTAAGCAAAGTCACCTCCCTTGTCTTAATGCCACAAGAGCCAGGCTCCCCACTGCACGTTCTATAGCACGAGCTGGTACTAAAGAACAGGCCCTGCCTTGAGGGGCTTCGACAAGAGAGAGGAGGGAGAGGTAACCTGACTTTTATAAGAGCTTAATTTACAGAAGTTGCTTGAGAAAAGTTCATCTGAACTTAAGACTTAAAATGAAAAACAAGTGAAAAACTTATATTCAGGATCTTGCATCTTAAAAGCACTTAAACAGTAAGAACTAATTTAGGGATGTTTTTCCCAGTGTCCTGGAAAAACAAACAAACAAAACAAAAAAACAGACATACACCTGGCAAAAGAAACCAGCCATCAGACCCTTCAGCTGTCTATTCCTGGGGCGCTAACACAACTTGCACCTGACCAAAATTTGGCCACTCTGGTCTCTGAGGTGCTAAAACTTTACAAACACACACACACACACACACTAACAGCTATACCCAGGCAAGTTATTTAATAAATTGAAAAACATTAATTAAGCCAGGCACTCATCCCAAGTACAGCACAGCCTGCTATCAAATAGTTCATAGAAAGAATAGTACAGTTGAAGAACTTCTGTTGGTCTCAATTAAGCAATGCTTCAGAACAGTTGGAGAAAAAACAACAACAGAAAGTCAGCACATGTACTCAGAGTGTCTGCTATGCTTAAAACCCACTTTGCTTCCCATCCAACCCAAACTCGCTTACAGGGCAGAGACATCTTGTTTTCCAACTTCCAGGCAAAAGAAAAAAAAGGAAAATATTTTCTTGCAGCCCTGAGGTCGACAGTTGTCTCTGTTGCAAAACGATAGTCTCAGCAGCCCTTCTGTGTGCTATTTTATAACCATTGTCCTGAAAACCACTATGAGTCAAAGCCTATTCAAGCGAGGGAAAGTGACATAACCGCTGGTTACCAGCAGCAATGCAACCACAATCTCTCTATCAGGGATATGCCAGCAGTATTTACATAGCTACACAGCACACACTAAGGAGGCAAAAGTCAGGAGTATAAAAGCAGGGTTTATTAGCACTACATGAGTTCAAGATAGGGAATGGAAATAGATTATTGCTGAAAATTCAAACAGGGTTTGCACTCAAAGAAAGGAACTTCCCCAGGATCTCTTTACAACATGTGAAAATGACTAGAGAGCCAGCTAACAGCCTGATCCCTTGGAACTAAAATGAGGCTCAAAAAAGCACTGGGAAACAGCCCTCGGAGCACAGCTGAAACATTTCAAAATTTCAAGCAAAAAGGACCCTGCATGTGTGAGCTCTACTTCAGCAGCAGGAGCTGTACATTTACCAGGAGTCAGAACACAGACTTCTATCCTGAGCTGGGAAATTTTTTTCACGGGTGGCCTATGGGAAAACACTGACTTCTTAGGAGAGAAACCAGCTGGCACTGCCTCTGCTGGCTCCTGGTGTGCGTGTGTTGTTTGGTAAATGTTAATAGTGTGTAGGGTGTAACAGGTACAGACTGAGCCTTGCACTCACTAACGTCAAAGAACTTCCAACCTAAGCTACTGCTGCGCTGCTCACCACAAGTCAAACAACCACAAAATACTTGGTTCCTGACATCTGGCCAAGCTCTGCAAAGACATCAGCAAAAACAGCTGTGTAAGAATATACGTACTCCATCCAGATTTTTTTTTTTTTTTTAAATAACAGACCCTGAAAGCACCGTACATTCATACATATATTCATGGCTTTGGAGCAACAGGGGGGTCATAAGGTGTATTTCACTAGAAAGAAAGCAAAAAGGCAAATCCTTACTCTGCATTGTTCATGAGATCAAGAATTGATTTATCCTTCATTTAAGCAGAAGTTAAAGCTAGGAGGTGACTCACTCTGCAAAAGCACGTCTCCCTTGTATGATTTTTTTTCTACAAAGGGAGGTTTAATTTCTTCCTTTTAATGACAATGAGCACAATACTGATCTTCTTCCAGCAGCTAATGACTGGCGTAACAGACAGGATGAGAGCATGACTACATTCTTGAACCTTCTTCTAGATTCATAATCTGCATCCTAGTTGAGACCACAAAAGTAATAAGCAATTCTACTTTTATACAACTAACCAAAGTGTGAAATTCTGACCTACTAGTCATCATGATGAAGCTCCTTCTGCATTGGAGGTAGGGATGTAGACGTCATATAGCAAGTGAAGCCACAGATAGCTTTTTATTTTCACACACACTCTGTACACTCTGTACACTCAATAGGCAAAAATAGTTTTGGACTGATGGCCCATGGAGTCCAGCCAATTAAAAAAAATCTGACCATTATAGCAGCTGTACTAACTCATGCTCAGATAAATAAAGTCAAGAGATGTGAGTTTGCCAGCATCATTTTGCTAGTGAGTGATTTTTGGCAATTGTTTCAACTCTCCTTATAAATTCTACATAACTAGCTTGTCCTCCATACACAGGGCATCTTTCTGCTACTGTATTATTTATACACACTATTTATATTGAAAAGAGAAATTCAAGTTCTTAAATATATTCTAACATATTAATCTTGAGAGAAAAGTGATAATAGAGAACTTGATGTTCACATTACATATTTAGAAATTTGCAAAAATTAATATGCTTATAAATACATTAGCCGGTTTAAATATACAGTACCACCAAACCCAGAAAGCAACTGGAACACCGGGGTTTGCTTTTCAGGGAAAACTGCAAATAGAACCTATGAAAGGTCCTTGTTACCAACTGATCCGTGAACAGTGTGTAGTAAGAAGGCAGCAGTGCCCTTTTCATGCAAACCTCTTATCTTCCTAATTGATGACTGAATAGTGATCAGCCTGACAAGACCTTGGGACTGACACCGTGAGCATCCCACTCAAATCCCGTCTTTCACTGTCATACAGAAAGGGGAATTCAGAGTGTGTCCCTGAAGGGTAACCAAGCCTCAAGTAATTTGCATAAAATAAGTTCTGTTCAGACATACCCAGATTTGGGAAGGCTATTTTTGTTCTATATTGGAAGGAAAGTCAGAAAATCATTGTGGAATGCAAATTCTGGAATATTTTAAATTAGAAGGATGAAAATGTTTCAACAGTGAACAAATACATAATTCACCAAGAAATTCTTAGAAAGCTAGCAATAATTTGAACATAGCTATTTTATCAGAATCAAGAAATTCCCAGTAGGCACTTTGGTGACAACTAAGCCAATTTACTGAAAAGCTGTTCTGCCAAAAATAAAGCCCAAATGAACAGCTTCAAGTACAAAAGAATGAAAATGCCAAGGGGGTTTGTATCCTTCGAGGTGCCTGGTAATCCTTGCTTAATGTATAGCAAGACAGACTTCGGACTAGGTCCATCACCTACTGCAGAGAACATGAGAAAAACAAGGTAGGAAGCCTTTCCATTTCTGAAGAATCTGGGCGATTGCTGTTAGGACAACCACTGAATGAAATTATTTTGTATGGAAGGTAGAAGTATTTATAGATTATTTTATTTTGACTAGTAGAAAATACTTTGCAAACGTCTTGAGCAACATTAGAGGTTATTTTACGCCCATGCAGTTTTTAGTTTGTTGTAAAAGACTTGACTAATGGTCTCAGTTGAGATATCTCTCCAGTTCAAAAATACGTAAATCTAAACATTCAGAAGGGAAAGGCAATAACAAGAAATATAAGAACATATGTTTTGTTTCACAGTTTGTGATAATTCCAGTAAGATGATGAATAAACTTCATGAAGTAAAAAAGAAGTTATCATATTAACATAATGTGTTTGAAGTCATGTTATAGGACCCAATTCCTTTGTATTTGCTATATGACCTGACTACAGCAGTTAATAATAGGCCCTCTCCAGGCTTGGCCCATAAGACAGCAAATAGAAAATTCAGCCTCTAAAATGTCCAGAATCATGTCTGACATTTAAAACTACAGGACAAATTGTTGCACAGACCTGAAAGCCTCTCTAGACCTCAGCTATATAGCTGTCTAAACACTGAACTGTGGTCAACTGACCTAGCACCAGAAAAAATGGTAATTAAAAGATACACTAAATCTAAAATGAACTGCTCTTCAATATTAAAAAGGAAGATTTCTTCAATCTGATGCTTCCTGCTTGGTTCTAACCAAAGCCTTTTCTCAATACCTTTCAACTTTACCTATGTTAATACTTTGCTGAGACAGAAATTGCCATCAACAGGTTTAGAAACATATTCATTGATCTGCAGACGTGCTGTGCAGCAAGTTCTTAAGGATTTTTAGGTAAACTAAAACAACTTATGTCGCAGAGATGCTCAAGAGACTGCTCTGTACTAATGTTTCCTACTCAATTCCTATGCTTCACCAGGGAAAAGAAGATTGAACCTTCCAAATGCTACAAGTAAAATTGTAATATGTCTTAGAAACAGCAATATGTATCTTCTTGCCATCAAATCCTTTTTTTCCAGACAATACCTAAAATCCAGAAATCTCCAGTAATATAGAGAAGGTGCAAAGAAATACTAGTCATTTTGTAACAAAAGTGACAACAGAAATCATACTAGAGAAACCTAACGACAGCGACCATATCCGCTTCTAACTCATGGCTACCCAAAGTACAATAAGCTTCCTAACCATCCACTGAGTGAAGTGGGACATTCAGTCCTTAGTATGTTCTCAATATCACCCTTGCAAAACTGCCCTTTCAATGATCATGTTACTCAAAATTCTGTAGATATCTTGATTCATTTCAGCCAAAAGTCACACTGAAGTCTGAAGCAAGTCCAACATCACACTGAAGTGTTTTTATGCCTATTGTGATTCTTAAAATCCAAGAGCCAAGTCATCCCCTCCCACACAAACACCTGCAGGAGTGTAAAAGGCCTCTACAATCTATGATAATTTCAATAGTTTTCTGTGGGGAGTGAGGTGAATAAAGGCGAGTTCTGCAATCACAGAAAATGAAAGAGAAGTACAGGTGGTACCACTACAAGGCAGAAACCCATCAAGCAGTTATAAAAAGCCAGTGCTCTGTGCTTTCTGAATTACCTCTGACAGACTTACACATCCTCTAGTCCTAGGGCTCACGCTGCGTTGTCTTTGTGCTGTTGCTTAGCCTCCATATCTCTGCTGCTGGGGGAACTCATTCAGGCACCAAATCAGGAATGCATCCTTTCTTGGCAAACCCCTGGGGAAATACTTGTGGTCCCACTGAGTTTAAATGAGACTTAAAACATATGCTACAAGTTAAGCAAACGCTTCTGAGCTTTACTCGGGGCAAGGGAGTTTCAGCCCATGCTTAACTGTTTTCTTGACCAGGGAACTTGGACATTGTCCTACCTGTCACTTCCATCCCAGGGGCTGGATGCAGCATCTTCATCCTGGGATCTGACCTACACTATTCAGGAGTCTATAGCTGCAGTGGTCTACAAGGTCACTGCTCCTGCTCTTTGCTATCAGCTCAGTGCCACAGGTCAGATAGTTTAAATCAAAACTAGGAAATACATGAAACAAGACACAGGCACTTGGAATCTAGGAGATGACTGCTTCTTAGCTCATTCTGATCAATCAGACCAAGGATTAGACTGCACATTTCTACTTTTACAATTCCACAGAAATGGTTCTGAAAACTCAATTCACATTTCCTTCTTAATGAACTTCCAGTTTCCTCCAAAATTACCATTAAAAAGCATAGATACACCTCAGTCACTTATGGGGAAGCCAGACAGCAATTTTACTTATGCAAAACTCAATCAACTTCACATTTGTTGTACTAGAATGCAGGAAGGGTTTTTTTTTTTTTTTTTTAAAAAAAAAAGACACTGCAGAGCATTCTTATGATACACATTGATGGGGTTTCCGGTAGCAGGCTTTCAAAAATAATTAAACTGATGAATCATAATCAGGAAGAAATGGCTCTTACATCTATTAAGATAGTTACTTAAAAATGTTTTGATGAATCATGCAAGAGTGCTCACAAACAGGATTATACTTTTTAATCAATATATTTCTTGTTTTTCCAAAGTCATAAGAAAAGAGTTGGTGCTTTTAACACTTAATTTGAAATAAAAAAAAATATTTACAGCAGACATCATAAATGCCACAGTGCATTTCAGACCAGCAAAACAGTACTGTTTTTTGTTTTGCCATTCACAAACCTTGCTGAGGATTTCAAATCTGCAAGCTCCCAATTTGGAAATGTTTCAGTCCTGGATCTTCAGTATGCTTCTTTTTTCCAAATCATTCATTTCCTTCAGTATAAGAGCAACATTGTATCTCAGTTCTTGAAACTTTGCAACAGGCACCTGAAACAGAGGATTCATTTTAGGAAACATTGAAGTTCTTAGAAACCGTGGTTAAGGTGTGCCTGTGAGCAGGGAACATGCCACAGCATCAGCCCAATCTCTCTCAAAAGAAATATTTTTTAGACTTTAGCCTTGAAGTAAATTAAATCCAGTTAATTCAACTAAACTATCTCTGCCATTGAGGTGGGAAATGGAGAATGGTAGGAAATCAATTCTATCAATACTAACACACCATTCCTTGTAAACTGTAAAATCAAATCCTCTCCCTTATCCAACAGGCCACAATTTTGACAGCACCTAAAAACCAGCTATGAGACATACACATTTTACATGAGAAAATGGAAGTAGTCACAACACTATAGTAAAAATTATAGCAACATACTATAGATTTCATGCAAACACAAAGTGAAAGAGCTGCCCAAAATCAGCTTACAGAAGTGGATCAGATATATTTGTTTTTTACACTAAAGGACAAATGGCAATGAAAAGAACTGCCAAACTCCTCTTACACCAAGATCAGAATTCTCAAACAAATGATCAACTCCAAAATACTTAACCTACACAAAAACACCCTGTCCTGACACATCCTCTCCAGAGCTTTATTTACAGCTTAGTCACAACCAGAAAGTCTTTCACTTTCTGGACATTTGGACTATTTGGGTACACTTGCTTTTGCAATGCTGCATGATGGGCAGGAGCAGTGGAGGGAATACTTGGGGAATAAAAATCTGGTTACATTCGAGTTACTCTCTCTACCCACACCTGATTTTATACAAAATTTCCTTCCAGATTTACATCTTAAACTCAATGTCCCCGTTACTGACTTATCTTTTTGTGTGTCAACTAGCAGAGCATGAACAAAATCCAGCATATAAAAACCCCACCCGAATCTTTGGAATTCATTATGCTATGATTAAATTCAAAGATTCAATCTTTGTTGCAACAAATGTATAAGCAAGACTTCCTAAGATGCATCCATGTTTCAAATTCTTCAAGCTTCTGTACTATTTTGGGACCCCCAACATAACTCCCCATTTCAAAATGACATAGCCAAAACAGAAGAGGCCTTGAATTCAACATTAAATCAACTAAACACTTCACCAAATCATACAGACATGGTGAGGTGAAGATGAGTGCAAGAATTATAGCATTATTTATACAAGAACATTATTATGAAACAACTACTTAATGCACACCAACTATGGTTTTGCTTTCCAACTAGATACAATATATTTTCTGATCTTGCCACCTAGTCTTCCTTAAAACCTGGTTTTACAAGGTTAATTGCAACCAACTGCCAAGAAAATAGACCTTCTGCTTACCTACACTGATCATAAATTCACACACAGTTTCATAAAGGCTAATGTGATAACAACTTCAAAGAGAAGATGAGCTTTAGGTAGGAAAAATGATGTTGCTGAAACTCAGAATTGCAGAATTGTAAATGCTAGGACAAATGGATACCACACTTGCTATCCAAATAGCAATAACGCACATCTGTGCATGAATAATGCACAGATTTCAAAGAAAAGGAGATCAGCTTTTCAAAGGTTAAGAGGTAGGGTCAGGATATAGAAATACAAAGTCTGCTCTCTGGATCATGCCAAAAATGTACCCATAGATTCATCTGGAAGAGACTCATCTGTGTGAGGTAGGTAGAGGAGGCAGAAAACTAATGGACTTTCTTTTATCATTGCAAGCCTGACAAGTCAAATGGATAAATCAGCCTATTAAGTGCTGCTAAAACTTTGTGAGAAGGCACTGAGCCCGGTGACAGAGCACCACCAGTGCAGTGCACAAGCGCACGTGCTGTCACAGGTGGCCACTGCAGCACGGCCAGTGCCATGAGGCTCCACAGAGCACAGGCTGATTTACTGCACGCTGGAAGAGGCCAGTTCTTTTGACAGACTCCTACCCCGCTTCTGCCAATGTGGCACAGGTATCAGTTATGTTAGAGCAATCCATGATCTGATTCATAGTTCCCATATGGATCAGAAATGCATAGAAAGTCATAAAAAAGCCTCATGCTCTTTTCCCTCATAACATATGCTACAAACTCAAAATGCTGCAGTAGCCATTGCTCTTTCAACATCTTCATTGTCAGTAAACTCACTATGATAAAAAAAATAACGAAATAACATAATTTCTCCTTGTCACTTTCAGCGCACAGCCCTTCCATGCTTCTTACAGACTACTATGAATACATGAACTGAAGCCAAAAATCTTTAAAGACTCCAAATGTGATGCCTGTTGTGCACTGACTCCTGTATGCACCACTGGGTTATTTATAGAACAAATAGCATTCCTTCTTAAAGGTTAAAAATATGGATGAGTTTATGCCATTTTCTGGCAAACCATTATGTAGAGTATCATAAATCCTGCCACTGACTAATTCTGAGGTAAAAAGCACTAAGAGAAAGTTCTATATTGAGAAAGAAGAATAAAACTACCTCTGCCACAGGAGAGAATGTTGTCAGAAGTGAGGTTTAGTAGTGCATCATATATTATATAAACTACTCCGGTATCAAATGCCATTATCACATCTGAAAGTTAAACTGGATAACAAAACTGTAAGATTTAATCAAAGCAGATATTGCAAAACAATGATTAATATTCTTCTAACAAAGGAGGTTTCCACAAACATGCCTAGAAATAAGATATGAAATTATTTGGGTAGCATTTGATTATATATCATGTGGCTACACTGAACTTGGAGGATTCCAGAGCAAACCAAGCAGTGACAATGCATTTTTTACAAAGTTTTATCATTTTATATAGTAATTCAGCTTTCTAAAAGAAAGAACATCAAATAGTTTCCTTTTATTTATTACTGCAATCAGACTTACTTCAAAGCGATGAGCTGTCCCATCTGAAAGCTTCATCAGCATTAAAATGGATGGCTGAAGTGCACGGGCCAATGAACTGAAATTAGTTAGATTATTAGTGTTACAACAACACATATTGGCAGTGAGATTAGTACAGCATCATGCATTAACAATCTAAGGTGCTCATGTAGGCTTTACACAGAACATATGAATAAGTCAAATTATACAGTCACATATCTGGCTAAATAGGAGACTCGGGAACACAGAAATCCTGTCCAATCCACCTCAGTAACAAGACTAAAAAATAATCTTTTTTTGTTTAATAATTTCAGGCTTAAGAATATTTTCATTTTAGATAAAAACAATTTAATGGAACTGTCACAGGAATAAGAACCGACCAAGTACTACTACAAGAATAACATATGCTGTTTTCCATGCAGTTTACCCTGTTGTATTAACCATTCCCATCCCTTCATGCTCTCAACTGCGATCTCAGCTGGAGAACAAAGCTTTTCCAGACTACATCCTAAATTTGTGCATTGCTATTTTATTTGATGACCCAAGGAGGGGAAATGAGTCATTTTTGAGCAGCATCCGTTGACGGCCGCTGCCGAAGCCTGCTCAGGTACTGAGAGGCCCTGGAGCTGGAAGCTCTACTGCTCCTCAGAGGCTGCTGCTCGATGATAAACAAGAATTCCCAGAGGAAGGTAGTTGGAAAGGAATATAAGAAAAATAGAAAAGGAAAATGCACCATTCCTGTGTTGTTTGGAAAGTGAATCATAGCATTTGCTGGCAGGCATTGTGCCAGAGGATGTTTATCTGGGCATTTTGCTCTCTTACAGGTAGACATTTTTCTCATGTGTTTTTTATAGCACTGCTCATCTGAGTCAGCTGAGCTTGTAGCTTTTGGCCATCACAATTTTCAATTGGGAGCTTTTTGCTTGGTTTCAGACAAACTATCCCAAATTACAATGGGTGCCTCAGCTATAACAGTGAGTAAATGGCACCTTCTCCTTTGTTCAGTTACACAGGATACCCTAAGTCGTCACACACATGTAAATTTAAGCAACTGAAAGATACCGAATCATCTTGTAATCTGTTTGATTCTGGTCACTCTTGGTTAGACCTAGACATGCACCAGGAACTACACAGATAACAAGCTTCTATTTATGGCTGGGCTGTAGCCAGAGAACCATCTCCTAGATGTCTCTGCTGTGGCAGATGGCAAGAAACTGCAGGGACAAGCAGCATGACTGCAAAGGACTTTTCTACAGTTTCATGAAAGAAAGTAGGAGGCAGATCAGTAGCCAACTGCATGAGTATGGCAATGCAAGGCTGCTGTTCTAAAGTCTTTTTTAATGCCGTGCCTATAGCAGACTGAAGGGTGATAAAGTTATTTAACACGTGCAACATACAAATGCCAGTCTACTGGAAATGCTGAATGGATTATATCCTTCCTCCCACTGAAACCAAAAGCTTGGCTGGCTGAGACTCAGTCCATGAATTGCTTCCATCATCTCTAAGGGCTGCTTGAGTTGTATCAGCCCATCAAGCTTTAAACTGTAGAAAGAGGGACTCAGAATTTGCACGAAATGCTCTAGCAGAGGTTTTAGACATCAGAACAAACAAAGAGTATAAAAATGTATCATTAGGAGAAGGAGACAGCAACCAGCTGACAAATACCTGCAGCAGTAGCAGCCTTCTGTATATGAACTGTTTCACACCGTTCAGTGTTCCACACTGTTTCAAAAGTTTTCTTTGTGTCTTATCATTTAATTTTGCATGCAAAACCCTAATAGCAAGATGTATTTTAAGACTGTTAACATTTTCAACAGTACAAGTCAGTTTAACCTTGAAAAAGTCTTCCCTGTGATCATGCAAGGTTCCTTTCTTTACCTTGTGGATATAGCCACATCCACTCTCCACTTAAAGTCCTGGACACTCGGCAGCCTACTTCTTTGTGTCAGAGATGTGCCTTCAGAAACAGGACGTCTACCAAGAAAACCAGAATTGGAAGGTTAAAAGCCAAATTCATATCAGGAAAAAAACAACCTCAAGATAAAATAAAATTCTTCACAAACTTGCATGGAACCCATTTGTCTTCTACATATACCTTCATTTATAGAAGCTCGAATGGGTGGAGGTTTTGTATATTTAGGATGTTTGTGCTCAGATTACCTGCATTTCCTATGCTCAACTATAGTCCCCGTTAGGGGACTATATAGGCCATTGTTGTAACCTCCATTTCCCAGAATTGCAGAGTTTAAGAATCATCATGGTGTCTGGCATATCTATCACTCCACGTCCAATTAAACTAGGATAAAGAGGGGATCTGGGATGCAAACCCAGCACAAACAGCAGGAAGAAGCAAGCAGGAACAAAAGTCAAATGACTCTAAAGTAAAAAAGTTGCAATAAGCTCCCAGTGCTCCTTCAGCAGAAGGCACCTACTATTAGCTAGCAGCAAAGTTTAATATAATGATATGAGAGCATACAATATAATGAAAAACATATAATCAAAAGTCATACATTGGTTCTTGATAAATCTAACATACTTTACAAATCCGGTTCTTTATGCATTGTTCATTCTAACCCCAGTATAACCTTTAAGATTTTTGTCCGGTCTAACATGTAATAAGCCAAGACTTTCATTTATTACTTATAATGCAGCAAGAATCAGGCTCATCAAGGCTTAGTTTATTTCTATTAGGAAATGCAGTTGACAGTGATTAAGCTTCAGATGCCTGACAGTCTTTAAAATTTTAATAGCATCTTAAGCTCCTGGCAAGTAAACAAGGCAAATCTATACAAAGACATAGCAGCCATCCATTTTTAGGTATACATACAAAAATATCTTCAGAATGAGGTCACTCTTCTGGTCCATTAGGGAGCTAGTCCGGACTTCGTGTTACCATACAGATTGACAGGGACGGACTTTTCTTTTTTTAAAGCATCCTGTGTCTCTGGAGGTTATTTACGGTGCATTTCAAAGCTACTCCAGTTAAGGGCAGGATAAGAAATGGTTCATCCTTTAACCATGGTGCTGGCCATAATCTAATTACAGACTTGACATCAGACAGGAATCTTCTCTGAACAAATCAAGAGCTGTAGGAATGATAGTCTAACATCCCTACTTAGGATCTTGTGTGCAAGTTAGCTGGTGCTTTCAGAAAACACCAGAAAGATTAATGATTTGATAAAGAGCATAGCACCAACAGGCTATGATCCTGCAATTCCCTTGCATGCA